AGTAGCGCGGCCCCACGGCACGGGTCGGGGCAGGGTAGGGTTAGCAAGCAGAGGAGAGCAGAGAGAGAAAGAAAAAAAAAGAAGGGTTAGGTAGGAGGAAGCAGAAACAGGCAGGGCAGGCAGGCAGGTCCAAGGTCCAAGGTCCAAGGTCCAAGGTGTAAGGTCCAAGGTCCAAGGTCTAAGGTCTAAGGTCATAAGGAGAGAGAGGGATAGGATCATAGGCAGGCATAGGCAGGCATACTGCTAAGCTAAGTAGGTAGATAGGTAGATGGATGGATGGATAGATTTGTAGCTAGCTAGGTAGGGTAAGGCAGGCTGTAGTGACACGCGCTTGAGGGCATGAAGCAACGCATGCCCGTGAGGGCATAGAAAGCTCAACGCAACGCATGCCCGTGGGGGCATAGAAAGCTCGACGCCCCTGGGGGCATGAAGCAACGCATGCCCGTGGGGGCATAGAAAGCTCGACGCCCCTGAGGGCATGAAGCAACGCATGCCCGTGAGGGCATAGAAAGCTCGACGCCCCTGGGGGCATGAAGCAACGCATGCCCGTGAGGGCATAGAAAGCTCAACGCAGTGCATGCCTGTGGGGGTATGGGGGCTTCAAGTGCTAAAAGCCCGATGCCTCATGCCTGGGGACATTGTCCAACTCACGCCCTCGCGGCCAAAGAACAACTTACGCGTTTGGGGGCTTCGCAGGCCTCAACCAAACCCCGCCCTACAGCTTTCATCTAGAAGCCGCATCAACATTCACGCATCTACTTACCTAGTCTTACCTTAGGAACGTTATGCTCAAGCCTAGCTAGCTGGTCCACATAAGGGTTTCCATCAAGCTTCATAGTGATGCACATCATATCGATTGTTCGAGAGCCGCAGGCCTCTCTCTCCCTTCGCAGGGAGTATTCAGATTGAGGGAGAAAGATGGACAATATAGTAAAGCGTGCGCAGGTGGCTAGTGAGCAGCACATATGTATACGTAGCGCTGTTACTTTCCTCTGGATTTCATCTAGAGATGGCGATAGGAAGATGGGATGAAGAAGGAAAGAGAAAACCAGGAGCGCGTCCCCTGGGGGAGGAAGCAGAGTTATCCACGCGTTTAATAAAAAGGTGTTTAGCTGTGAGTCAGCAAGCGCCTTACCGGAAGCGGACTCGTGCATAACGTCGCGTCGGAAGGAAGCAAAACAAACACGTCAAGCCCTGTATCGAGAGGAAAGACAAGCCGCTCCTATGATCAAGTCCATCATTCTAGACAGGTGAGACGAGTACAGAGCAATGGCCGGGCTATATGCGCGTGGAGAGGCCTGGTCGGTCAGCCTAGGGAAGTGAGAGGAGTAATAGCCAGCAGAAAGGCATGAGAAAGACGGGGAGATGCATCCACGAAGTAGCATAGTCGGGTGAAGTAAGGCAAGGTAGGTGAGGAAATAGAAGGAGGGAGGGTGTAGACCCTGAGGGAGGTCTGGGGACAGACAGCCCTTGGACGGGAGCGGACAGCTCTTAGAGTCTGGAACAACTGCGACCCCGTGCCGGAGGCCGCCCCACAGTAGTTGATTATGTCAGAGCCTGTTGAGCATCAGCTGGGCGAGTCGCCCCTCGAAACCCAGGGTTAAAAGATGCAAATAGCGAATAGTTCCACGCGTCATGCTGTAGCTAGTAAAAAAAGTAGATCGAATAGCTTATATAGATAATATAGAGGTGATTTAGAGTTGAAACGGGCAAAATCGCTCATTGCAGCACTGAGACGCTTTTTTTTCTGCATTTTATCACAAGATGTATTTGGATATGCACTAAAAGTGTGCGCCACACAAGACCGCCATCCAGTCCCAATAAGTATACACATCCAACAGATATGCTGTATTAGTATCATGATGAATCTTTACATCGTCATAAACAGATGACCAGCTGGGCTACACATACCCTTATGTGTAGTGATAGTCAGCCCAGGTTAAGCTAGAAGAGCGTACGAGACAACACGGCTATCCGTTCAAGGGCGATGAACAGCGGGTACAAGCATCCACGGCATTCACAGTTGTAAGTGCATATTAATTCCCTGAGCCGTTGTGGCTGGCTTGTCGCCGTGCCGCTGGCCGCTGGCCGCGCCGCGCCGCCACGGCTGGCCCGCCCTCGCCTGGCAGCCTAAAGCAGCAGTCTCAGCCAATCACATCCAGTCATGCTGAATACGTACCCCTTTTTTGAGTACCATCTTCCCTTTTACGCACACCCACATATCTCATCTCACCAACAGCACTCCCGCACCCTCTTAACCACTCAACCACCCAGTCCTAAACCACCACCCTGGAAACAAAGGGGGAAAAAACAGGAAAACCCGATAGTTTCCTCCATCAGAAAGTGCACATCACCGCAATGACCAGAGTGCCCGCCAACCAGCGGAAGAGGAAGCGTGACGAGAGCGACGATAAGAAAGCGGCTACGGCAGCGCCGTCAGGGTCCAGGAGGCGGGTGCGGGCCAGACGAGAAGACGAGGCCAGCGCACCCTTCACAGAGACCTCGTCCGCGCGAGAACGGGCACAACCTTTCCTCCTCGCTGTTGCTAGGATGCCCGTTGACATGCTCAGCACAGCCTGGAGCGTCGGAAAGAACCGGCCGATCAACGCGGCCCACGTCCAGGAGCTGGTACACGCATTCAGGAGCGGCGGGCTGGAAAGGCGGGCGCCGGAGAACCGTATCGTCGTCCTCTGCAGCGCCGAGGAAGTCAGGCGTATGCTACAGGACGGCGGCGACGAGCGCGACGAGGACGACGAGGACGATGAGGACGACGAGGATGACGAGGACGGCCCTCGCGAGCTATCCTTCCTGCGCTGGGCCGAAGTCAATGGGACCAAGGCTGAGGTGATGGCCGGCCAGCACCGCATCCAGGCGCTCCGCGAGTACGTCAAGGAGACGGGCGCGCCGGGTTCCAATCTGTGGTGGGTGTGCGAGCTCTACGATAAAGGTAGGAAGGCGCACCCTCCCCCCTCCCCCCTCCCCCCTCCCCCCT